CTGAACCACCTTCTATTTGGAGTAATTTAGATCTGAGGCTCTGAGCCAACCCAATGCTGGTCATGAAACAAAATCATGACTTGAATAGCTCACAGTCTACATGTGGTTCTGGCACTACAAGCCGATTCCCTCGGGCAATGACTTTCAGGTTTTTGTGTTCTTTGGCTTCTTGTTTTGTTTTTTAAAAGGAATGATTTTATTTCCTCACATTTATTAGCATTCGGATCTACTGTACAGCGCTTGCTTCCTCCGCCTTCCTCCTGGTGCAATTTCTGGAACCACCTTCATTGCTCCCATTTCTGTCCATGTTTGAAACTGGTTTCAACCAGCCATGGTCAAACCACACCCCATATGACTGCAGACCATGGAATATGCAACTGCATCAAGCCCTCTTGCTAAAGCAGTGGTTTGTAATATGGTTGCTGGTTGATTGTTTGTCTGAAAATCCCTATCCACAAGAGACACTGAAATAGTGCTAAAAGGCGGGCTAGTTCCAGAAACATTAGGCGATGTTTGTGCTGCAGACTTCTGGACAGTGTTGCTCTGTTGACAGATGCGATCCCTGACCAAAGGAGCGATGCCAGCAGCAGCTCCTAATGTGAGGACAGCACCTTTACCACTTTTGTGGACTGAAGGTGGAGTGGTGTTAAGACACCATACGAATTACTCCATACTTCGTCCCATCAAATGAGTAATCCTCCTGAGGTCCAGTAAAGATCTCTTAATGTAGGAACTGCCCTAAGGATTAGCAAACTAAGATCATGTTCAATTTGGGCTAGCAGGACTCTGGCTCCAGTTTCCCAAGGAATGTGGGAAGGCAGGGGGGGGAAGAGATCAGGAAAGACAAGTGTAATGAGTCAGTCTTTGGAAACCAAGCTTAGGATTTGACTCTAGTTACTTCATTTACAGGCTGGTTCTAGAGCTGCAGCCAGCAAGCACTCACAGTTTCAAACTGGAGCAGACAAGCTTGGGAGCCTGCCACTGCTGAATGTCCCCAAGTCAACTTAGCACAACAGCTAAGCTCACTCCCCTATGATCCCTCACAAATGCTTCCCCTGCCCTTGCTGCAAACACTGGTCTCCAGCTCAGGAGTCTTCTCAGCTTCCTCCTTCACTCTTGTGGAGAGCCCAGGCCAAAGTCCTCTTCCTCCTCAATGCCACTGACCATCTCCATGGGTCTATCCAGCAAGTAGCAAGGCTCACGAGAAGTCATTATGCTCCACAAGCCTGGAGCCCTCTCCCATCCCTCTCCTCTTTGTACACAAACACAGCCACTGGACAGCCCTTCTTCCTAACCCATATGAAACCCTTTCAGATCTCACCTGAATGTCTCCACCAGTTCCTCTTTCACCTCTGCTATACAACTTGGCCTTCAATTTACTACCCAGTTCTTCCAGCTTTCTCTACTCCATAGCTCTGTCAGGACTGACCCTTCTTCTATCCAGTTCTGCACATGGACTGTCTCCTGAGCTGGTCCACTCACCAACCACCATTGAACCAGTCACATGTGGAGTAAGTGTTTCAAGGCAGGGAGCAGACCTGCTTTGCAGTGACAAAAGGTCAGTTACCGAGTGGTGAAGAGCTCGAGTCAGGAAGGAACATTTGGGCAGCAAGTGGCAAGAGTCACCCAGCAAGCAGAAAACCCCAAACCCAGTCCTCACAATTTGGGTAAGTAACCACACTGGATGTGAATTGCTTTGTTGGAGCTGGGACAGCCACTGTATCTTTGTATCTGCCTTAGTAGGAGCCAGCTATGACTCATGCTTTCACCAGTGCAGACAGGGTGAGGGACATCCATTGGTGAAGTTACCCATTTGCTAAAGTAATCCATCACAAAACCCAAGCATACAAGGAAGAAGGGAAGTTTTATGTAAGTGTTTGGCCAGATCACGATAAGCACAGAAAGAGGGTAAGGTGCAAGAGGTGTCCCTTTGCTTACAGTCAGTGTAAGGTGATAAGGTGTAGGGAATGGTCTAAATTGCTTCATGAGGTGGCTACAGCACTGCAGCTGGGTCACAGTGCTCTGGATTCAGTTAGCTCTTCTGCCATGCCATGAATATTGGCTCCAGAGACCTGGGCTGCCTCGAGGTCCCCTTCACGTACCTTCTCAGGCTTATACAACATAATTCTATTAATGGGATTAATTTTCTGTCAGAGCCTTTAACTTGCACTTGGCTCTACCTCAGGCAGGACAATTGAGATCAATGTGGCAGCACCTAGGTGGGATTCCCTGGCTTGTGTTGAGCAGGTCAAAGTAAAGAGTTGTAGCACCCTCCTCTGGTTTTGGAGAAGGGATGGGAAAATACCTACACAACAGGTACCTGCTGGGAAACTATATAGCTCAAGAATCAAAAGTGGTTCCCCCAGAGAAGTGTGGCTGAAAGGAGAAGAAAATTTGACTCATGCACTTTAATTTTTGTTTTTAAAAAGACACACCTCCTATTTTTTATTCTAGAAGGTCATTGCATGAGGAACATACTTTTGACACAGATGTCATGAAAAAGACCAAATACCCTTTTATGTAGACATTCCTAAACAGAAAACTAAGTGACATGGGAGGTTACCTGCCAATTGATTATTTGTCCTGGAATTGCAAGACAAAGCCTCATCTTTTTAACCCCAGGCAGTGTCCTCACTGACATGCCACCAACAGAAATTACTCTCCACCTCTGACCACAGCTGGCTGAAAGGTGTGTCCAGCATCATCTTCTTCCCATATGCGTAGTTACCTTCCATGAACCCAGAAGCATCTCACAGCAGCTCATATCCACATGGGAACAGACCCCAGTCCCTTTTTGCTAACCAGCACAGGCAAGGGATTTTGGTCTAAGGGACTTAGTATCAAGGTAGACTACGCATCAGATGGATTTACAGTCAAGGCCTGCCCTTGCTACTGGAAAGGGTCAGTGCCAGGCGCAAGAGTGCAGCCAATGGTGTGGAGTCTGAAACAACCTGCTGGAGTGGAGCAGAATGGCTTTTAAAATAGGTACACTGCAAGATCTCAAGAAAAAAAAAAATCCATCTACATACAGAGAGCCTTGAATTTCAAGAGGTTTTCCAAGAAACCCAGAGCATCTCAGTGTAAGGAGGAAGACGAATTGCTTGGGAGCTTAAATAAATGAGGTGAGGATGCTCCCAAGAAGGCGGCAGGCAGATGCAAAGCTCCTGCCAGGAAGAACAGAAGGCAGTGAGCCATTCAGCTGTCAGGAGATACACCACCTTTTACCACTAATCATCCCAAAGACTCTCTAGGAAAAGGTGCTGTTTCCATCCACTGTGGCAAGCCAACAGCACTAAAGAGTGCCCACTTCTTCTCTCAGCCCCTTCTCAAGTCTGCCCCACTGCACAGCTCCTGCCAGCCTCATCCCTGCTTTGTTCCTCCAGGCCTGTCCAGCCTCATGCTCTCCAGGGTTTATTCTGGAAGGACATATCTCACCTTCCCCCTTGAGGGACAAAGGACAGATGCAGAAGATTTCCGAGAACTGGTGGTCTGCCAAGGAAACAGGTCAGTACTGTGTCAAGATGGAGCAGGAGACAACTCCTTGCAATAGTAAGCAAGGGAAAGCCTAACACACATGGTCTATCTACAAAGGCAGTAACAGTCTTACTTTGCATAGGAAAATATAGACTGCTCTAGTCACACAGGTTTTTAAAACTCATGGCATTGTGTAAAGAGTTGTCTAACTTTTGCCCTACCAAGGTAAAAAAAATAGACACTGCCTCATGTGTGCTAAATATTTGGCTATCAACTGCTTTTCACAACAGAAAATCTTTCACTCTGAAAGAGGAAAGAATTGTGTTTCACGGGAAGATTCATCTCCATCTCACCCTTGATACACCCCATATCACCTCCTGTATTGGGTCTGCTGTATTTGGATGGATAAACTGGGAAGACAGTCACAAGTCTCAAGCATCTTTTGATACTGGAGACAGCACAGTGCCAGCTTACGTGACAGGAAAGATCTGGCTCCTTGGGTAGAGCCTGCAGCACTTGGCTGACTTTTCTATGGGGGCTCCATGGGTCTAGCAGCTAGCAACACAGATCCAGCAGCCAGCTGCACCTGAGGTCAGAGCTCCATGTTGTACAAGCATTGAGAAACCTAGCTAGAGGGCACCTGAGTGAGCTTCAAGCTCAGTACACAAAGCTCAAAGAGCCAGGGCAGCATCCTGAAACAGGAGAGGAATCTCAGTAACAGTGCAGACAGCCTTCAGCTTGTTGCTAGGCTAATGCCCTTGTTTACAACCTGGCAGAAAATAAGTCTAGTAAGTTTTAGCATAATCTGTGCCTGAAGAGGTCTGATCCTGCCAGGACCCATGCACAGGAGGTGCTGCAAAGTAACAGCCAAACTCTAACCACAGATGCATCTGCACAAATTCTGCCAAAGGAGGAAAAAAAAAGCCTGGAGAAACACACAGCGCTTGTTTATCCAGGAATAAAAATTAGCCTATGAGGTCAGTGACAGAGGACCTTGCTACACTGAACCCCAGCAACTTGTCAAGTTAGGGACTGCGCAGAGCCACATCGCCCAGCCAGTGGGAGGGATGTCACACTCTGCCCAGAGCACCGAGGAGCCCTCGGATACCTGCTAACTCATCCTTTGGCAATGCCCTCCAGCGCTTGGGGACTTGCAATAGTAAGAGCCCTCCCCAACCCAAAGGTTGCCAATCTGCTTAATTAGTCTGCTCTTTTAAGATAAAGGTAGGAGACTACAGTGTAAGTCGTCTGAGATCAAGCCAGTACCTGGCCATAGGGATGCTATAATGCTGCTTTAAGTCAACAGTTAAATCAGTGGTACTTCATTATTTTATATCAGTTGACAATCTGGTATATAAATATGAAAAATTAAATACTCCTCCTTTCCTCCATCCCCCTCCCCGTCTCTATTCCTCTTTTTCCCATCCCACTGCCCTCCCGGTAAAGGCACAAGCATGGGATTAAATCTCTTTCTCATGAATTGTTCCCAGGAAATATGCCCTCGTTCAGTGTAGTACAAACCCTACCTTGGTTGAGGTAGGTCAGGGTTTCTTCGTGGAGTTTCACAGCAGGTGACGTGGCTGTGCAGAGGACGTACTGAAAGGGTGGCAGTTTGGCATCGTTCTCAGGAGACAGCTGCGGTTCTTCCTGCTTGAAGATCGGCAGTGCAAGGACATCTCTGCAACACACAATTCACACACATTTAGTTACAAAAACTTTACAGAATACCCTAGCCTCATTCTTCACTCGATTCTCATGCTCCAAGATAATGGAGATGGTCTCTGGAGAAACACCAAGTTATGATGGCTAAAAAAGAAAGAATTTGGCCTGTATAATGTAGCAAGGCAACTTCTGCCTGTAGGATGTCAGCACTGGACAAAAGAACACAGCATTAATAAACCAGAATATTTTTGAGAATTAATTTATGTTTTTAAAACATAAAATCAGGTTTACTTTTTAGTTAAGCAGTCTGCCTCATGCGGAAAAAAAATATCAAAAATAGATTCTTCATCCTTGTGGAAGGACATTTGTTTAAGAGTTCTTAGGTTCTCAGACAAAAGCCTTTCAGAAATAAAAAAGTAAGAAAGGGTACTTCATTTTGACAGCTGAATGTCAGATTAGTAAAATGTCTACAAGTAGCAGCCAAGGGTGAGGAACAGACAGCTCTGGTATAAAAAGGAGACATTCAGGTAAGTGACGGCAAGAACTACTGGATTAATTGACTCATAACATCCCCTTGCACTCAAATAAACCTGGTCACAAGGAATCGTGTAGCTCTTAAGTCAGCACTGGGCTACCTTCATAAATGCACACACAGGTGCTCAGGAGCAGCTTCACTAGGACCTGCATGCAGTCCCAGCTCTCACTCCTTTACAAGACGTTCATGCTGACCTGCCTGCTGATTTAGTGTCAGACTGATCCCAATCCACACTAATCCCCAAGCAGAATGGGTATTAGCAAGGCTGAGAGCACAACAGAATAATTAGTACAAAATGAGACGTCAGGAATAAGCATCCTTATCTCAGCATGTCTGATACTGAAGAACCACATTAGCCTTTCCCATGTCACTAACATTTCTGATCATTGTGTCCGCCTATTTAAGACATTAATACCCTTCCAAATTAGGAGGATTATGTTGAACATGGAGGCCAGTTCAGAATAAGTTATTCTTTTTTTTCTCCTTCATTTCCTCCAGATGTGTGAAGACTTGAGATTCCCATTACAGAGGCTGCAGTTCTGCTCCCTCCAGTAATCCCATACACAAAAAGCTTTAAGAAAAACTGTTCAGGAACATGCCAGCATGTACAGGCAGGCTCCCTATGGAAAGAGCATTAAGAATTTTTTCCTTGCCTGTTCAGTTAATGATCCACCCTGCTTTCACTCATAGCACCCACAACCTTGAAGGCTACCCAGGTCATGAGTGAAACGGTGCAGCAGTTTATAGCAAACTGCTGAAGTGCCTGGTTCAAACACAGGTACTTCTATTTATGGTAAAATAAAGCCAGAGAGCAAACTGTGCCATTTCAGATACAGACAGGAGAAAAGAAACACCCATCTCTGTTTCCATTCTCTCTTCCAACCCCACCCCCTCCATATTATCACCAACTCAAAGGCATCCAGCCCCATTTGCTTACTGGCATTACTGACAGAATCACAGCTCTTGCCTAACTACAGCCATAGAGAGGGGTTGGGTTTTTTTCCTTAGTGATGATTTACTACAGTAATGAAGTGACAGAAGTGCTTGCAGTAGATTTCTGAAATAGATAGCATTGCTCCACACATACACAGGATCTGATACTGCTCCACAGAGTCATCTCTCACCCCAGATGCCAACATTTGCTCTTAACACACTCATCTGCAAAATGCTATTGGAATGCATGTTGCTTTACAGATGAGAACAGTCAAAAACTCTGAAGCCTGAAAGCCTCTGCAGTAAACAGCACACAAAATCTGGCCCAGGTTTAACAGTTAAGGGTGAGGATTTCATACACCTATTCAGCTGAAACAGTTGGGAAATTTAGGCAAGGGGAAGTCAAAATTCAAATATCATATTTCACATCAGGCTCTTAACACCCCTACACTTGCTGGAACAGCTGTCTGATTGCTGAAGACTATAAGCATGGAGGAATCCATGATTTGGTTTCTGGAAAGGTTCACAATATTTAAGCGCTCATGAAGCCACACAAGTTAATCACATTTTTATTCCTATAGCATTTGAATTAATGGCCAGTGGTATCCATGGCTTTGGATCAAGCCCTTCTAAAACATTTCACCTTATTAGAAGTGTTCGGAACTTAGAAGGATGGTCAGCAACAGATCAAGGCTTAAAAGAATTTCTAAGCTCTAGGTATACAAGTCATCACAATATTTGTTCAACTCTTTTCACTCAAGAGTTGCAAATCAAGTTTTGGAAAAAGCAGGATTTTACAACAGTTCCCATCCTTAAAAAAAGGGGGGGGGGACACCCTTAAAACTCTCCCAAGTCTCACCTTTATGCTAAAGCTTTACAGTTTTGGTCTTAACCAACAGTTAGTCTGCTTACCTGGGAAGGGGAAAAGTTTTTTGAGACTTCAGTCAGCTGGCAGAACAGAGAGTAAAACACATACTGGGTTTCCATAAAAATGCATGAAGATTTAAGAGGATTTTTCTGTAGTATTGTCTTGCTATAATTACAAATACCACTGAGGTACAGCAGAATTTACACAGATGTCTCAGACACCCACAAAGCCTTTGATCTCTGCAAAGTATAATCGATACAAACTTTTCCTACAGCTACTTCAAGGATTGTACTATTTCAGCTTCCTCTGCGAAGTTGCTACAAGTGGGTACGGAGAGCCTTCAGAAAGGCACAGCTCAGCAGAAAAATGCCCCTCTAGAAATGCATGTCTTGCCACATTTCCATGGAGAGTGAAGTGGCCAGAATTAGAGGTCCCTACAAAAAAAGGAGGGTTTTATTCAGCTGACCTTCCGTGAAACACCTGAGGCCATTGCTGCCATAAAACTTGTTTTAGGGCTTTTAGTCCCAGATCAAAACCACCACGGTCACAGCAGCAGATACTCCCTAAAGCTGAAGTTTGTTCCTAAAACACTGACAGATTACCTTCATACTAGCAGCTTTCCTGCCAGATCAGGTATCCTTTACCCCCCCAGCTAGCATCAAGCCAGCAAAAATAATCTAATGTGTTTTCTGGCCAATTAAAAGGCATTTGAAATGTGGGCTCAAGCCTGACCCAGACTTGATGATCTTGTAGCACTCATGCTACAAATCCATGGAGTTAACAAAGCAGCCTGAGCACCAAAAATGCTCTCTAATGCAAAGAGAGTATGCACAAGTACCAATGCTGATGCTCCTCTGCTACTACCGTTCTCACTGTCCTAAACTAATCAGGTTTGCAAACGCAAAGCAAGGCTTTTGCCACATACGTGTTGTTAAAACAGACTTACTGCCATAGAGGGATGAGGTGAAGAACCTGGTGCAGAGAAGTGGAGAAGCTGCCAGAAAGCAAGAATCTCACAGTATTGTATCATTTGATAACGGGAAATTATTATTTAGTAAAAATTCCTTTGCAAATGCGCTGACAGGGAGCAGGAATAGTTAAGATTGAGTGTCTCCTTGAAAGGGAAGCATTATCTGTGTTCGAAGTGCTTCACCAGACAAACTCGATGTTCTCTCAAAGGTAGTTATTTGGGGGTACATTTTGAAAGCAAGGCTCTTGGGCCACAACCAGGTTCTCCACTGCTAAATTCAACAAAAAGCACACTTCAGCAGAGCAGCAGCAATTGACACCAGCTGAGACCTCAGCTTTACATAGTCAGAAAAAAAAAATAATTCACAAGCACCCAGCAGAAAGGAAACTCCCAAAGTTGTCTGCTTTGTTGTCTTTTGGAGGGAGGAAATACGGGTTTGTGCTACACATGTTACAGGCTATTGTTTCGCAGCCCTTGTGCTTAAATTAGGCACATTTAATTAAACGCAACTGTTTGGAGACAGGAAAAAGCTGGTTTAGGCGAGTTCAGAAAGTGAAATTCTGAGCTTTTTACCCATCGTCCCAAAAAGGAGAAAGAAATCCCACCCTGCAAAAAAACTGGACGCCCTCTTAGCTGGCCAACAGAGGTTTTCCGCAGACTTTTGACAGCCCTTTGCAACTGTCGCACCTTCTCCCTTTGAACTGCGCTACCCAAGCCCCGGAGAGGAGGGAAGCCGGCAAAAGCAATCAAGCAAAAACTGCAGGTAGTCGTCTAACCACGCGCTAACAAACAAAACAAAACAAAAAAACCCACCAAAACCAACCAACCAAAAAACAACCACGAGGAAAAAAAAAAAAGAAAAAAAAAAAAAGAGGCCACATCTCTCAGAAGGAGCTGGCAGCGCCGACCCCGGGCGATGGCCGGCCGCCGGGTACGGAGGACCTCAAACCGGGGGGGGCCTCGCCCACCCCCCCCCCGTGCCGAGGGCGCCGGG